CTTGAATGCAACCAATACTGAGGGCAGGGGAAACTGTTAACTCTATAAATTGTAGGTAAAAAATCGATGAATACCTGTAATAATTATTCTGATATACATTTGTGAATATAAGTGTATTTTAAGGGGAATTTTTAAGTGTGGAATTGCTAAGTCAGTGCCAAATTGTACTTAAAGAGCTTCCACTCCAATAGTGCAACAGTCATCATTTCCCCATTCTCACCAATAATGGGTATTTTTAAGTTGTATTCTTTTCCCTCCACGTTCCTCCACTTAATATTATGTGGGGGGACGGGAGAAGGCACGAGGATAAAAATAAGAGATTTATTTTCATCAAAGACATGCATGCTCAAACATTATGGGTAAAACAAGTTAACTCCAGTATGCCAAAAAATTAGTCATCATTACTTAGCTTCTAAGTCCAATTAACCAACCCCCCCATTTTATTGAGATATAATTGACATATAACATTGTTTAAGGACTACAACATAATGGTTTTGATATCTGTGTGTTGGGAAATAATTACCACAGTAAGTTCAGTTAAAATCCTTCATCTCACATGGTTACAATTTTTTTTCTTGTGATAAAAACTTTTTTAAAAATATATTTTTATTGATTTTAGAGAGAGAGGAAGAGAGAGAAACATCAGTGATGAAAGAGAATCATTGATTGGCTGCCTCTTGATGCCCCTTACTGGGGATTGAGCCCAAAACCTGGGCATAAACCCTGACCGAGAATAGAACCATGACCTCCTGGTTCATGGGTGGATGCTCAAGTTCAACCACTGAGCCACATGGGCTGGGCTAAAGGTGGATCTTGAGTAATAGTTATCACCTCTCACCATTCACTTCCTATTCACTTTCGGGGCACTAATATAATCAAAGTGCATATTCCTTAGAGCAGTCATAAACCTTAAGTGGAGCTCACATGGTTGGGGAGGCGGGGAAGACCAGACCAGCAGATACTGTTTCTGTCTTGGGTCAAGCCATTCTCACCAGCACCATCACTCTAGACATCGTCCAACCTCTGGTCTTGGTAGTCTGGCCAGAAAGGTAAATAGAACCACCTGGGCCTAGTCCTTCCTGAGCCCCAGTGTGGCTGCTCTCAACCTCAGGCCATGTGTGACCCAGAATTAGCAGATTTTTTGTTGTTCTGGCTTTATCCTGAAATCAGTTCCCCTTTTCAAGTCAGTCTCTCCTCTATGTCTCAAACATTACAATTCTAGCCTGAGGGGACACTGGCTTCCTCTTCTAAAAGGAGGGTCTGGAAACAGCTTCCCACCTCCCATCTTCCTCCTCTTCCTCTCCTGGTTCTGCCATTGCACACCACTTTTTCACTTGGTGATAGCCTACCTTTCAAAATGACTCTGTTCTAGGCTCTTACAGTTAGCAAGAGGCAAAGATGTGCTGCATCCAGAATACATAGAAACAATCTTGCACAGGCCTTTTTTATTTTTTTTTTAATATAACTAATTTTTTAAAAATTTTGACCCACACGATATACCCATCTATGTAAAGTATTAAAATGCTTTACAATAGCACACATTTAAAATTTTTTGAGTAACTTCAGAACTTATTTGAAAAAAAGAATGTTTAAAATAAATTCTTATTTAGACCTCACATTGTTTTAAATGGCCCCCATTTTCCAATGGCCATCAAAATGGACACAAGTGATTTAAGTCCAATCCCCAGAGCTCCCCATGGAAATACTCCTTGGTCCTGAGAGGGCAGGAGGGCAGGAACGCATGAATTTCTTCAGTAACATTCATATGCACAGGAAATGACTATTGACATAATCTTTAAGCCTAATAGTTAAGATTATTCTTCAGTTTGTAATTTAAAAGCTTCTGACAGCTAAATGCTGTAGTATAATTTATAATGAAAGAGTTTGAGAGATTGAGGTGTATTTCACTGAGCTGGTTTCTCTTATGAGTTGAAACTAAGACTTGTGTAAACATAGGGAGGGAAGCCCTTACCAGGTTTATGTAGTTAGGCAAGAATACTTAATGTCCCTCATTCCCAAATGTGCTGCAGTACCATCTGGGCCGTACTCCAAGTTCACAGGAAGCAAATCTATAGAACTTAAAGGGCATTAATTTTTTTTTTCAGTGAAACAGTCATATATAAGACCACCACCTACCAGTATGTAATAAAAGTACACATTAATTTATTTGAAATATACAATTTTATAATATTTCCCTAGTGCTCCTTTAAAAAACTTGGAATCTTATTTCAGATATTTTATAAGTTACAATAACAAAAACAAAACTAAAAATTTTAAAGTGTGGCCCTGACTGGTTTGGCTCAGTGGATAGAGCGTCAGCCTGCGGACTGAAGGGTCCCAGGTTCGATTCCAGTCAAGGGCATGTACCTTGGTTGCAGGCACATCCCCAGTAGGGGATGTGCAGGAGGCAGCTGATCGATGCTTCTCTCTCATCGATGTTTCTAACTCTCTTTCCCGCTCCCTTCCTCTCTGTAAAAAATCAATAAAATATATTAAAAAAATAAAAATAGATAAAAATTTTAAAGTGTGTACCATGGAGAAAGACACCAATAGTATAACTACTAACTGTAAATAATTTGGGAAACTATACTTATCACAGAACTACTCTTTTTATTACCAAGTAACATGTGAACAGATATCCCCAACTTTACCCCAAACACCCACCTACACTGTAGGACTTTTATTTTCCACTTCATTCCTTTTATTATTAATTTTATTTTTAAAAAGGGGTATATACTATATACTTTTAAAATAGCTTATTGATGTATAATTGGTGTACAATAAACTGTATTGTGTTTTTTTTATTTTTTATTTTTTTTTCCAAATTTTATTTTTTATTACAAAGGGTATTACATATGTGTCCATTTTTTCCCCCGCCCTAGACAGTCCCCTAGCCTCCCCCATTCCCCAGTGTCTTATGTCCTGTATTGTGTTTTTATAATCAGAAAAATTAAAATATTTTTAAAGTCTGTTGGAATTCATGCCTCTAAAAAGGCATTTCCTTCTCCCCCCAAATTATCATTATAAAGGAATTTAAATGTATCTCATATCACTGAGAGAGCTGAGTGAACTGACAAAAATTTACCTTGCAGATTATAGAATATTGTGATCCAAATATAACCCCTCCCCAGTCTTAATATATACTTTATTAAAAAATATATAATGAAGCTAAAGCCAAGTAGATATCTACTAGAAAGATTTTCAAATGTACCTTCAGCATTTGTTAAATAGACACAGAGACAGATGCAAATTTAACAGACTAAATTAATTTTCAATTAGTGCTTTATTTTAGTAGTATTCTTCATCCTGACCATGCACCATTAATGAAAACAGCATCCTCCCTTGAACCTTTGGGTGAAAACATGCAATTTCTCTCTGATATTTTCCAACCCACCAAAATCTGTTAGCATAGTTAGCAATTTACTAAAAAGTTATGAAAACCCATGACAGAAATATACTTCTTTGGCATTAAAACATTTATATAACTGGACAAGAAATAAAAAGTGATACTATAAAAGGCAAAGTATCTAACAATGATTTAGAAAAGACTGATAATCAACAAGTCATAAATTTCCCCCAATTAAATGCTTTAAGTAAGCACTGTAGCCAAATAGATTAGCAAGAGCCATTTTTCTGAAATTCCTCCTATCAAACGTAGTGTTTATAGTTCATTTTCAAATGTAGTGTTTAAGAAGTTTTGATTTCATTCCTTAAGATAAAAGATTATTCTTAGCACTTTTTTTCTTAGTATTTTTTTAAATAGTGAATGGCTGAATCCATAACTCATTTTACTTTTTATCCCTTTCAATGTTACATGAGTGAGGAAATATATTCACAAATGTTTAAATATACAAACGTTTTGCTAAATATTAATATGTACAGAGTTTTGATTAATACATTTTCTTTTAAAGACACACTTCCATCACATTTCAAGGAGATATTCACATTAAAATAATGAAAGTTACAAACTATCAGATAGGAGGCAAAACATGCTAATGTTTGGCTGAATGAACTAAATGGTAGTTTTTGCCTTAGTCTTTCATTTCACTGCCAAAACCTTAAAGAAAACTGAGGAGAAAATAAGGTGGTGGTTCAACTGCAATATTAATTCAACTAAGCCCCTTAATATGCCTTTCTGTTTGCTAATCTTGGATCAAATCCAGCAACTTTAAAACAGGGTCACTGAAAAATAAATGAACTTTACATTTGGAAAGTGGAATAGAAGACTGAGTAAAAAACAAGGGAAATAAAAGGAAATCTAAGTCAGCAGAAACATGACAAAAGAGATTGGAGATTTTTTTTCAGGTGTTGAAAGATTCAGTGTGTTCCCTGACCATTATCTCTACTTCATGGCACCTGATGTGCAGTGTGGTAGGAGAGGCCCAGAGCAGAGGGCCTTCCCAGGCTGTAGGTTCTCATGGGGCGGGTTCAGGAGGGCCTGCTCTGGCCTGATGTATCTCAGGGTGGTCCTCAGGACCCCCTCGAGGCACAGATCAGTGCCAGAATTCCCAAATCAGACAGGATGTCTCCCATGTCATAATGGCCAAATAGGTAGACTGTGAACTGAAGTTGACGAGGGGAGAAGGAGCCCGGCCAAAGCTGTGACTGAGGGTCATGGGGGCTCACTCTCTAGGGTGGCTGCAACCGCACCTATTCAGCTAGTCCAGGACCTGAAAGAGCATAGGATGGTTATAGAGTGACCAGGGAGGAGGGGGGTGAGCCCTGCTGCCCAGTGACACCCATCTGCGCTGCAGGGATTTCCAAACCTTCTACAATTTGGAATTATCTATAATAATAAAAGGGTAACATGCTAATTAGACCGGATGATCCGGATGAAGCTGGGGGCGAGGGAAGCCCAGGTCCCGGGTGCAAGAGGGAAGCCTGTGCCAGTGCCAGCAGCCGGGGCAAGGAAGGCCTACAGGCCTCTAGAAATCCTCTAGGATGGTGGGCAAGCCCTGTCCTATGAAGCAAACAATTACTTTTTTTCCCCTTTTTGTTTGAAGCGAACAATTTTTAATATTCCTAACAAGTTTTCTAAGAGGGAACAATAGCTAGATATAGAAGTTACTGCATCATCACATTACCTCAGCAGTCTTTTCACACATACTCAGCTGAAACTGAATAAATGATGTCACACCTTCCAACTGAAATAGCTTCTTAGACCAACTTTAAGCATGGACTGATTTTTACAAAAATGAAATACTGGTATATTACAAATACAGCTTTTATTTTTGTGAACTAGAAAGACTATCAATAGATACCAGCTTTTCAGTTTGTAATAAATACACTACAGAGTGTATGCATTATCTGGATATATATATATATACAGTTTTTTGCTTTTGTGTGTCTTTCCTTTTTTCCAATAGTTTCTCCTGCATTATGTAGTAGTGACTACGTCTCAGACTGAATAGATAAGCTGTGTTTTATACAAGACCATTTCATTTCTCATTTATTTAGATTAGACAGATAAATCTGAAAACTCAACTATGGATTCATATGTAAACTTTCAGAAATGATGTTTGTTATGTCTGATGTAATAAATACAGAATTATTTCATACTATTTAAAAACAATAGACACCACTTTCTTTCAGCACCCATCAGGGGACAGCCTAAGGCTGTGAGTCTGCTGGCATATTGCCATCATTTGCTTTTTCTCCAGAGACAGAATGCTTCAGAAACTGACCGGTAGCACCGATGTATAATCTTGATCGCATGGGCCATTTCTGAAAAAGAATGTTTAAGCAAGAATCTAAAAGTTAGTATTTATGGCAGTTATAATCTGTAATAATAATTCCAAATACTTCAGTGCAAATGCAGTCTTATATAGTTATAACTAGTAACAAGTATAATTATGAAGTCTAAGGTATAACATAAAAAAATATTTATTAATGCTAACAATGAAAATAAAAATACCCAGACTTTGATTGTAACTATATAAAATAGTATGTGTGCACGTGGGCAAGAAATCATGGAGGATGAATACAGTAACTGTAGGAAAATTTACCCACAATGTTTTAATTTCAAACTAAGCCTAAAACAAGATCCTTGGCTTTAAAGATATTTTTAAAAGTTATACATGGTTAAGTGCTCTCTTCTGCAGCAGATATACTAAAATTGGAATGATACAGAGAAGATTAGCATGGCTCCAAATTCATGAAACGTTCCTTATTTTTTTAAAAAAATGTTATCCATGGTAAGTATTATCTGTCTCCACTTGTCAAAGAACTACAGTGAAAGGTGACTAATTCAACTATCTAAACATTTTATCTAGCTAAAAGCAATATCTGGAAGTTACAAATATTAGGATGAGACAGAACATCCAGATTAAATGTCTGGGTATATTGGCTCTAATCTTTCAGTAATCATCACATTGTATTCTAATTTGTGACTTTTTCTAAATTCACCTTTAAAATGAACCACCTCTCAAACAATATAATTGATTACCAAATAGGCATGGTAATGGAAAACCATATTACATAAGTAGCCCTCTCAGAATGGACCTTTCCTTTTTGGGAGGGTGGTGTCATATAATCAGTTTAGTTCTAAGGTCCTTGGAATATTAAGGGCTAAAATACCTTTAGTTAACCAAAAAGTGCAATAAACAGACCATTTTTATTTGCATTAGATTAATCAAATATAGATTTAATTGTTAAGCATTTTTAGTAGTGCCTATAAAATAATGTGTTATGGTTTCAATTATGTATGTAAAACCTCTTTCCTCTGAACCTCCACAGCATATGATTATAGCTCTCTTATGGCACACAGAACATTCTCCCTTACATCTTTGTCTCTCTGTTCATTCAGGGGCAGGGATTGAGCCTTACCCTTAACTGTATTCACTCTGCTAACACAGTGCTTTCTTTGCACATAGTAGGCACTCAGTAAATGATTTTAAAACAGACTAGTCACTTGTTCAACCATCATCAATTTCCTTAAGAGGTAATCTTTGACCTTGTCTCATTATCCCTAGAGTTGTCTTTTAAAATCAAAATAATCCAGAGGGCAAATGAGATTTATTTTTTCCTAAAGGAGTTACAGTACTACAAAAACATTTGGTATATGAATCAAGTGCAAAAACAAAACAAAACAGAAAAACCCACCTCTTGTTAAGCTTATGGTTACCTGAAAATTATGGTTCTAACTAACATCATTCAAAAAAGTACTGCAAGAAACTAAGGTGAAAAACAACTTGATTTATCCTCTGAATTACACCTCTCACAAAAAGGCATTTAACAGATGCTTTTTGTAATAAAGTCTACTTGATATTTAAATGTCCAGTAAAAAAAATCTATTATTAATATATATTTGAAAGCAATCTAATGCACACCGTAATTGCAAACCCCTTAATAAGAAATGACTCTTCAGACACAGCCGATTTAGGGAAAGGGGTGGCTAAGGAAGATGGTGTAGGTGAAGGTGGCTGTGTGACCACGTCCTCCCACCCTTCCTACCCTAGACAACTCTTCTCTACCTATTTTTTGCTATGGCTGTAAAGGTATTTTCCCTCTGCCTCACTCCTTAACATGCCTTTACTCTGGGATCCTATTTTAGGCCTGGGGTGGGAGCACCTGGGGCTGGTCTTAGGAGGCGGGTAGGTTGCAGACTGCCTTGTAACCCCTGGACACCCTCACATGGGTTTTTCTGTGTTCTTTCATAAGACTCTTTGAAGTCCAATAAAGCATAGAGGAGATTTTATTACTTAGAAAAAAAAAAAGACTTTACAGCTGAGATTGTTAAACAGGGTGGGGCAAAAGTAGGCTTACAGTTGAGCATGCCTAACAGTTTATTCTTGTATTATTATTTATTAATTATTTATTATTTTCCACTTGAACAACTGAACCTACTTTTGCTCTACACTGTATATAACACATGAATGGAATAGGAGCTTTCACAATTATAAATAAATGATATTTAAAATTTTTATATTTAATGTTTAAAATAGTGTTAGTCTATAATCAGGTTGATTATATTTGCAAAGAAATTTTGTTACACCTCACCACAGCATTTAAAGTTCAATTAATATTAGAGGGTGTACTTTTTAAACATTTCAATAATGATTATTCAATAATTTATTGAACACTGATATATTTAAGACTAACTCATAATTGTGTGTGTGTGTGTGTGTGGCCAAATACTTCAGAATGGTAGAACTGAAAATTTGAAAGTTTAGAAAGTTTAGGCTTAGGAAATATAAGGACGATTTCATATTTTGAACAGAATGCCAGATGAATGTAGAATTTCAAAAAAATCAAGTCTCGGAGAAAAGGACAATGCAGTCTAAATACTGAGGAACCTACCTATATGTAATGTAAAAAAATTATAGAAAACGGATTTTCTTGGCTAACTTTGTCCATTACAGAATTTGAATATAGTATTTAATAAGATCACTCAACGAATATACCAATTTATTATACAGATTACATAAACACATTTTAGTTTTTCTAACACTCTTGGTGGCTGTCTAGTCCATGATCGTTAACCTTTATGTTAACCTTTATTAAAACGTACTGAAATATACTTTGTGGGGATGCAAAACGGTCTCATTTTGTTCTTACTAGTTTTACAAAATATTTTCAACACTGGTTTCCTAGGAGTACTAAGGGACAGGTAACTCCATTACCCCATAATTCATAAACACTTAATTCGTGAAACTTTTCAAACAGCTGGTAAAACGACAATGGAAATGTGACTATGTAAATTAAAACACTTAAAACCAAAAAGGCTCATAAATATAACTCTGACTGTAAAAATTACCAGGACGCGCAACCGAGCGCCTCATCAGGCACCCGAGAAACCGCTCACCAGGAAACGGCATCCCGTGGGTTGCATCCTCCAGGGAGCGTGAGACTCCCTACCCAGCAACCTCGGTTTAAACCTGCGAACAGTTAAGCAGCGGGGACCTCGAGGGCCAAGTTCCCGCGGCCGATCTCTCCCCCGCCCCTTTGGGTGAGGGCTCGGAGGCAGCTGCCCAAGTGCTGGCAGACTGGGCAAGTCCGGGTGCCCTGCTGCCGCCCCAGCGCCGCAGTGCGCCTTGCCCTCCTACCTTGACAGGGTGCAGGTAGCCGTCGCCACGCAGGGCGCCCAGCCCGGGATCCGCCGGCGCCTCGGCGTCGTCCTGCAGGCTGCGGGTGAGGTGAGCGATGTAGGTGGTGGCCAGCAGCAGCACGTCCAGCTTGGACAGCTTGGTGTCCGGCGGCACGGACGGCAGAGGACCGAGGGCGCAGTGAGCAGCTGGGGCCCCGGTGGCTAAACCCGGGAGGAGCAGCCCTCTAGCCCGCCCGGCCCCCCAAAGTCCTCGGGACCTTCTTAGCGAGGAGGCTGCTTTGATTGCAGCGCGTCGGTCCCTGCGTCTGGGGAGACTTTGGGGCCTGAGATTCCTGGGCGCCTTAGGAGGCAGAGGAGGGGCGCGGGCCGGGCTTGGCTTTTAACGGACAAGTTAAGCGAAAGTGCTGCTCTGCCGCGGAGGGAAGCTCGGGCTCGGCACTTGTTCGCGCTCCAGGACTGTTATCCTGCCGGCCCCGCAGCAAAGATAGTGCTGATCTCTTTCGCGGAGAGCGGTACCCACGGCCGCCGCCCTCGTGCCATTCGCTCCGGAGGCACGGGGCCCCAGGGGCGACGGCGGGAGCCCAGGGCATCTCTCCAGGAGGAGTGGAGGGCCCCTGGCCTCACCTCGGACTTCGG